ATATATATATATATATATATATATATATATATATATATATATATATATGAACAAAACGATGATTCAAAAAAATTCATCAGTTCTTTTTACTATGGATGAAAAAAAGATTCATTGAAAAAATGCATAATTTATATGAAAGATATAATATTGCATTGTGAAAAATGATTGAATGATTTAGTTAAGAAATTATTTTTTTTTTCGCATTGTAATATCAATTACGAATATTTGTTTCTAAAATGTTTTATCGAGGGACAACTTTTTCCATTATTGAAAACTTTTGTTATATATTTTTGAAAAATATGCAAAATAAAAAAAAAACGAAAAAGAAAAGATAATAACTAAAAGTAATAAATCAAAAAGATAACAGAAATGACCCCAATTATTACTTTATGTGCAATTATTACTTTATGAAAATTAATCGTCCTCGTTTCTAAATATATATATTTATGTTCTATTTATATTGTATTTTTTGCAAAACAGAAAATTATTCAAAAATATTATTGTTGAATTTATATAAACTAATAAAATTATATTTTTATAATTTAAAGTTATTTTTTTATAATTTTTTATAGATTTTTTTTAATAAAATATTTATAAAAAAATGTCTAAAATATATTTATATATTTATTTACTATGCTTGAGAATCACTCATTTCTTTTACATACCATTTATAAATATTAGTTATTTTATTAGAGAGAGCGGTATAATTAGTACGTAAATATTTCGTCAATAAAGAAATATTAATACAGAAAACAAATTGGATTGTTGTTAATCATGCGTAAAATATTTGAAAATTAGATTACATCATTTAAAAATATTAAAGAAATTGAATTATATACAGTTTATTATTGTTTCGATAAAAATGAAAAATAAAAAATATATTTTAAAATTCTATGTTGAATAAAGAAAGAAACATGTGAATAAAATAATATTAAAATATTATATCAGTGGTTGAAATAATAAAAATAATCTTTATTTTGTTCTATTGTATCGCATTCGGATTAAAATTAAATTTATTTTCATAATGAATTTAATGCGTGTAATATTTATTGAAAACTTAGAATAAAGATAAAAATTAAAAATTTAAATAATGAAATAAATTTAAGAAATGATTCATTAATGTGTCTGTGTTTAACAATTTTATTGGTATGTTAAAATATTAATATTTCGGAATAAATGTCAAAATATAATAATGTACAATAAATATGCTGTCGCATGGTGTTCAAAATTCAAAGAGTACAATATCTTATATGGAAAGAAAATTCACATGTATACATACTATTTTCGATACATCTAAAATCATTGATATAAAAAACATTAAAACATAATTTATAAATTTTGCAATGAATTTGTAACAAAATATAGCGATAAACTAGTTTAATATTTAGTAAAATCTTTATATTCCATTGCTTATTTATGTTTAAATGATATTATTATTTAAATTTATTGTTTATTATTTCCACAGAAATAAATTAATCAATAGTATTTCCACAGAAATAAATTAATAGTTAGTTAAGTCAATCGAAGATTAATTGACAGATAATATTTAATCGAATGGTGAAATAAAAATATAATTGATAATCCTTTAACTAACTTCGAATGGAAGATAATTATGAAGGAATCAGATATACGATATAAAATAATTTAAAAATATTATTTTAATATTTTATATTGTGCTAATATTTTATTAATAAGCGAAAAGTAGAGAAAATTATAGATTATGTACAAAATGTCCAAGAAATCTGATTTGTGATTGTGAATGTGATACATGATTTCGTGATTCACAGTCAGTAAATCACAATATTCTTTGTTAATAATTCATTAACAAAGCTATAATGAAAGTGTTTGCAAAGGAAAATTGCTTGAAATTATTTTAGAAATCTTCGGTTAACAAATGATTTTACATATCTGTATATAAAGTATTATTCCGAAAAAAAATAACAGTCAGTTTTGAAATAAATGTATAGTTATTTCCATTTTTTTTGTTACGGTGGACTATAAAATAAAAAATTTGAAAACGAGTTTAATATTTGTAAAAATAAGAAGCTATAAATATTTACATTCGTTCAAAATCGTTTAATGACAGAGTGAGATAACATATTATTCTATTTTTGCTTCAAAAAATTATATTTTTGCTTTGATATATATATTTTTGAATAACATTTTTAATTTAGTTTTAATTTATTCAAGAATAAATCTTTTAAGGGTGTATAAATTTTATAAAAAAAATATTATATAATATAACGTTTCGTTTTATCATTCGCGAGTTGTCACAAATTTTATATTCTTTTCACGCATAATTTGAAAAAAACTTGAAAATAAAATTTAAATGAAAATAATTTAAAACAACTGATTTTATTAAATTATAAAAGTGAACTTCGCTGGATAAATAGATATTTGTATCTTAAAATAAACCAATTCTCGATTAAAGAATGAATATCGATTAATTTTCATAGATCGGAAATAATAATGTTGTGAATTTGCGTAAATAAAAATTATATTTCTTCTTTAATCTTTAATTAAATAATTATTTCATTTTATTTTTTTCTTATTTTTTTCATAACTGCAAACTATAAAGAGATTGAAAATAAATCACGTTTAATAAGCGTGCGACAGAAAAAAAAAAATATATAAAGAAACGAAAAGATGAAGATAAGATAAATTAAAATACTAACCAGGATAGTAGACAGCTTTGTGAGAAATGTTATAGTTCACTTTCGGTATACCAAGCAAGCATTTGACAATCGCTGCTTCAGGTAAATTTTCATCAAGTAAGATCGTTCGTGATAAGATATCGTATAGTCCATCAGCTCGTAGTGTAATGGTAGGTTTTGTTTGTTTTTCCGGGACATCCCTGCAATGGAAGCATTTGCAGAATTATCATGGCTATATTCAAATCGAAATATCATGCGATATGTTGGATAAATGAGTAGACATTACCATATTAAGCGATTTACATACGTTGAAATATATTACAACGCATGTATCGATTCAAGCGGTGAATTTAAGTTAATATTTTACACAATGCTGGAACACGATGCATGTATTATTGTATCAATTTCAATTGTGTAAACTCATTTAAACTCATCGCTTGACGATGTAGACCCATGTATATGGCAACATCGCGATATGTATGCGATTTCAGTATTTGTAAACTGCTTTAATGTTATTTTGAAAATATTCTGTTTTATTTGCTTACATTGTGCTTTTATAAACTTTAATGTCTGTTTGGATAATTTTTTTGGTTTAGTTGGAATAATTTTACTTTGAATCGAAGAATTTGAAATTGTTTATAATAACATTGTGTCTAACGAGATAAAAAAGAATTATATTTGATATTTTTTATCGAAATTATAATTCGATATTTTTTTTTTGTTGAAATTTTAGTTTTATTCCAAATGATAGAAATTTAAAAATGAAATTTAAATAATCTTGAAAAACAAAGAAATTCAAAATTTAGATAAATATATAAATCATAAATCATCGATTTTGAGTTTTTTTAAAATTTTAAATTATATTTCTTATAAACGTTTAAATTTAAATTTGAATATAAAAAATTTTAAATAATATAATAAATTTTAAATAAGAAAATAGATAATCATTGATTTTGATTTTTAGATATATCATAGAACATTTTTTGCAAATATCTTGAAAATTAAGATCGACGGTAACGTAAAGTAAAAAAATTATTTTTGGAAATGTTTATTTTTACAACATATCCAAAAATCGAAATTGATGAGGATAAATTCGATAAAAGAAATATATAAATATGTACTTATGAATATTAAAAAAAAAAACATTAAAATATTAATTATACATTGAACATTTACATTATTTGTAACAATAATTATTTGTAACAATAAAATTTGTATACAATTTGTATACAATAATTTTGTAAATTGGGGAATTAATATTCGTTATATATAATTTTAAATATTTTTTGAAGTATATTAAAAAAATAATTTAAACGCACATTATTTTTCAAAGGAAGGAAAACAATTTTGGTATCTAAATCCGTATTTTATCGTGAACGTTGAGAAATTTAATATAGAATTTTATTTAGAATAATAAAGATATGTATAATATATATTTATTTAATACGTTTTTACTCTATATTTTTAACATTTTTTTTATATAAGTTTCAAGTTTATATTATCATAGAAATGTTTTAAGTGAAAATTAATATTTTATTATTAAAATATCGATACATAAATATGTTCGAAAGTTTAAAGTGTTATTAAAATAAAACAATTTATTTTTATGATTTATATTTTTATTACATACTTATGTTACTGTAATATATTTATAAAATTTCTTATAAAATTATTATACCTATATAAAATATTATTTTTCTTAATATTTAATAAAAAATTTTTGTGGTTTCATATTTATTACACCTAATAATTAACTTAATTTTTTGCTTCAAATTTCTACTCAATATTAAAAAATTTCTCTCTAATTCGTTTAAATTATTTATTAATTTTTTCATAAATAAATAGAATTTTATAAATGTATAAAATATTTTAAATAATATAAATTTTAATTTTTAAGAATAAAGTTTCTGAAAAATAAAATAAATGAAATAAAAATATATGAAAATATACCAAAAATAAAAAATAATTAGAATTTCATGATGAATAATAATATATTGCATAATGCATTATGTAAAAACGTTTTATTTCGTTATAAAATAAAGATTAATTTTTATAGAATAAAAATTAATTTTTATCAAAATTTTAGTATAAAATCTATATACGATAGAAAATATAAGAAAGAGTAGTTTATTGTAATGAAAAATTAAAAATCTTGAATTACTTACTCGATAGATATATCTAGAGTAGGTTGTGGATATAGTCCCTCTGCCATACACGTTATCTCTACCCCATTCTTATCGTCTATAATTTTCTTCCTATATATAAGATCGAATTTATCTTCCGTTGCTAGAACAACCAATTATTTTATTTAATATAAGATATCAATTTAATTTATTTAAAATTCATAATTAAAAACTAGTTAATGAAAAATTTATTATATTAAATTATTCATTTTATAGAAATAGATAAATATAAAATTATCTTAATTTTTATAAATAACATTGTAAAATCTTTTCTTATGAAGATTTAAAATAAAACTATAGTTCGTTTTTATCTTTTAATATTTTAAATGTATAATATTTAACGTAATATAATATAATATTTAAGCGTAATATAATTTAAAATAAAAATAATTTGAACAATTTAAGAATCTTTATTACAGAAAAATAATTTATTTAATTATATTTAATTATTTAATTATAAAAGTATTTAATTTTATTATTTTAATTTATGTTCTGTATGTTATGAATTTATAAAAATTTTATTATATTAAAATATTTTAAAATTAAATAAATTAAATAAAAGAAAAACATAAAAAATATTATTTTATAATCTTAACATATAAGATTTTTAATAATTATAAACATTGAAATAAAATTTTGTAATTATTTTTAAAAATATATTAGAAATAACCTTTTCCATATTGAATAAAAAATGGTTTCGCCGCTGCCGAAGTAAGTCGCTTGTCGACCTAATGCCGGTGGGCGATGTCTTTTTTGGAAGGCTGTGTCCCAACTCAATATCACCGTGTCCGACGGTCAGAGGCACGGTGTCCAATAACGATTAATTCGACTTGTGAGTACGACCTATCTGATGGAGAGTCGGTGCGGTAGTCGTGACTGTCCGAGAAGTATTCGGAAATGTGAACTGCCCGAAGGCCTAATCGGTAGTGAGTGTTAGCCAGGAGGATCGCATGGAGGTCGACTCTCTTCCTGGCTGATTGGGAATATCCTAATTATGAGTGAGGAAAATATCGATGCTGTAATAGGCATCGACATTTCCTGCTTCGAAATATAAGTCCAGGGCGGAGGCAGATGGTCTTGATCCAGGACACTCGACAATTTAGGCGACATAAACATAAACATAAATAAGAGTTGCAGCTGTTTCTGCTTAGTGTCACTGGCCCTTCGCCGTCGCGGTTGCGAGGAAGACCGTAACCGAAACCTTCTCGAATGTCCCTTTATAGGTCGCGCTAACGCTCGCGACCAAAAAACGTAATAAATTATATGTATTATAAATAAATTATATGTATTATAAAATAATTGTACATTATATGTAATATAATATATGATTTTAAATGAAATATTTGTTTTAGGAAAGATTTAGGTATTTGAACGCTTATTTTTATTAAAACTAGAAGATATTATATTATGTCACTGTATTTCATATATGATTGAATGGAGAATGTGAAAAAATAAATCGAAGTAGAAATATAGAATAAAATTTTTTCATTTGAAATAATTAATTTCAAAAAATTATCAAATAAAAATAAAATTGCCTAATTCTTGATTAGATTCGAATCAACTATCAACAGATAATTATTTATATAATAAGCAAAAAATGCAGAATGAAATTTTATTGCTTATGTTCTTTTTGAGAGAATGGAGATTCAACGTATATCATCATGGAAATCATATAAAAATTTAATAAAAATTTTCAAATTTAATTTTTTCGAAATGAACAAAATTTATTCTATATTCTTTCTTATCTTCAAATATAGAATTACTTTGATAATTCATTTGTATCTAATCAGAAACAATTAATTTCATTTGTTTTGTTTATTTAAAAATGTTTAAAAACTTGACTGTAATTTATAAGATATTTATATAAAAACAAAACTTTTTGTTTTATTCAAAATATATTCATTTCGAACATAATTTCTTCTTAAAATTCTTATTTTTTGTATGTAATTTGCTGACATTTCTGTTTTCTATTGAAAGTTTAAGATAAATTGTCATGTAAATTTGGGCGTACATGCTGCAAAACTAATATTCAATGATGATTTTCGAATTGTTCGTCCGATTTTGGATTTATATACTGTTATTAAAAACGTGTGTAAAATTTTATTTGCTCTGTGCTCATCGAATTCATTTTTCCTTGATAAATATTCTATTTCACTGCAATTTTCATTAAAATTTCCAAATATATTTTAAACTATTAATATTAAAAATCGTTTAATATTTCTTTACGTATTTTTATTATAATGTATCAAATTACAAATATAAAAAAATAAAAATTAAAAATATAATATAAAAAAAATAAATTTCGACCGAAATCTATTTTACAAGTTATAAATAATTTGATTTTAATTTGCAAAATCTGTATATAAACAATCCAGGTGAATTATCGAATACTTATATTGATTATTATCTATTTATAAGTATTACTAATAAAAAACAATTAAACTTTTGTAACTTTAATTTTTTAAATATTATTTTAACATTTATTTTGGAAAAACAGAGTTTAATTTTAGTACTTTAAGATATGATCTTCTTGTGATTATTGTTATTATCTCTATGGTTTCGTTACGGTGTTGAGGTTGGTCATATGCGGCCTACTCCACCGGACGATGGCTTTTTTGGAACTTGTGTCGCAAATCAATTTGTCTGTGACCGTGTCCGAAGATCGGAGGTTTACAATGTGTTGCGATTGCCCGAGGATGGTTCGGTAGTGTAAACTGCCCGAAGGCCTAATCAGTAGTGAGTGTTAGCCAGGAAGAAAGTCGCTTAGATGGATTCTCTTCCTGGGTGATTGGGAGTGTCCCAATTATAAGTGGGGAAAATATCGGTGCCGCAATTGGGGCACCAATATCACCCGATGCGCAATGTAGATCCAGGGCGGGCGGGCAGGTGTTTGGATCCAGAACATTCGACGGTCGAGGCAACCTAAGCAAAAACCTCAGCTGTTTTTGCTCGGATTTACCGACACTTCACCGCGCGGTCGCCGGGGAGCCCGTGACCGAAACCTTCTGGAATGTTCTGTTTATAGGTCGCGACAATGTTCACGATCATTCCGCCCGCCTTGAACCACTCGCGTTCAATTCTTCGTGTGGTTGGTCTGGTTCGGCTGTTCGTCGTGGCTGGGAGGCGCTGGGTCGTCTACAGGTAACAGGCAGACCTTGGCCACTGGTCTGGTGAGGGTGCCAGTGCTAGTACGTTGACACGACTCGCGTCACCCCGTCTGACCCTGGATGCAACTGGACTATTCGGCCTAGCCTCCATCGCTGTGGCGGAAGGTTTTCGTCCTTGAGCACGACCAGCCTGCCCACCCTGATGGTCTGAAGCTCTGGGTCTCGCCATTTGGACCGTTGTTGGAGCTGGTGCAGGTAATCGCACTCCCATCGCCTCCAGAAGTGTTGTTGTATCGCCTGCAGCAGCTGAAATCTGGACAGGCGACTAACCTTGACGTCCGTGACGTCAGGATGGATTATATCAGTAATAGGACCTCCTGTGAGGAAGTGTTCTGGAGTCAGGGGATCGAGATCTCGTGGATCCAACGACAGAGGATGCAGCGGTCTGGAGTTCATGCATGCCTCGACACGGGCCAGCACAGTGCTGAACTCCTCGTAAGTGAGGCGTGTCTCTCCAATTGTCCGCAGAAGGTGTCTCTTGGCATCTAACTGCAGTTTCCCACAGCCCCTCGAAGTGTGATGCATGTGGGGGCATAAATCGCCATAATTCGACACCCTCCGCGATCGCATGGTGACCGATCGACTTCCCATTCCGGTGGAGGAACTCGCGGATTCGCCATAGTTCGTTATACACGAAATTGGTTCCGTTGTTCGAGCAGATCTTTCGGCATCGACCCCGGCGCGAGGGGAACCTGCTCAGACAGTTCACGCTTCTGTGGTTAGTGCCGTAGCCGCCTTCAAATGAACTGCCTTGGTGGCCAGGCACACGAAGACGCACAAATAGGCTTTAGATGCAGTTCCTTGATGAGGAACGGTTCGATGTAATCTACCCTCGTACTAAAAAAGGGTGCTTGTATCCGTACTCTTACAGCTGGTAATTGGCCCATTTGGTATTCTTCGGTCCTGGGTTGCGCCCGACTGCACCGCATGCACCCCCGAATCACCCCTCGCAACGTGCTTCTAGCTGAGAGGTAACGCCTACGAATCGATGACAAGACTGTCTCGCATCCGCCATGCAGCAGTCGCTCGTGCTCGCCACACAGGAGAAGCTTGGTGAGAAATTCACCTTTCGGAAGGATTACTGGATGTCGATGGTTGTATGTTAATGTAGCCTGCTCCAAACGTCCCCCTACTCTGAGGAGTCCCTTTTCGTCGAGGAAGGGACCTAGACATCTCAGGAAGCTGGATCGTGCCAGTCCCCTCCCCAACTTCAAGTCCGCGATTTCTTTGGCAACGGTGTAAGACTGCAACCACCTCAAGATGGCTCCCTCTGCGAGGTCGATTTTTGTAGTGGTGAGTAAGGGAACCGAGTGGTCGTGTAGAGGTTGTCGCGTCTCACCCCGAAAGCCGCGCGCGGACCGCTCGGAAGAATTTCATACAGTACGCGATGATTCCCGTGAGTCGCATATAATTTGAATATCTCTCAAAGATATCAAATTGTGGTTGTGCCGTTATGGTCATGCAAACTGAAGCGAGCTCTTCGGGTAGCTCATTCGGTGCCGGGGCCAGTCGTCCTGCCCCTGCCACAGCCAGAAGGGACCATCCCACCAAAGACGTGAGTCTTGTAGGGTGGATGGTCTCACCCCCCGCGATAGCAGGTCAGCAGAGTTGTCATCCGTGGGCACGTGACGCCATTCGTTTCGCGAATTCGCCTGAATTTGCGCAACTCGGTTCGCGACGAACGTCTTCCAGCGACTGGGATGACCCCCTATCCACGCGAGGGTGATAGTGGAGTCGGTCCAGTACGTCTCGCTCTTGAAGCAGATGCGAAACGATCTTCGCACTTTCTCCATCAACTCCGATAGCAGCCAGATCTCGCATAATTCAAGACGCGGCAAACTGATTGTTTTTAAGGGAGCAACGCGTGACTTCGCACAAAGTAGCCGAATCGTGGTTTCCGTGTCGTTGACGATGCGTAAATGCACGCGTCATATGC